TTTACAATAATATAGTTCATACATGACAAAAACTAATCAGCTACTTTTCATTCCGGATAATTAAAGAGTTCCCGTGGGATAGTTAAAAAATTATAGTAACTTATACAGCTCAGTACACAACAACTTATGCACCTAATTTAGTAAAATTTGGCATGCTGATACCTTATATTGCAGGTCAAACAACAGGTTACTTATTTTATTTTATTTATTTTATTTTTATCTCGGAAAAATGAACGGTTCCCGTGGGATAGATCTGTTTGTGCTTTTCTAGAGGTGAACCCGAGCGAAGCGAGGGTGAGCCGCTAGTACTTATATAAAACTAGATTTTCTCTTTTCTTGTCTTTGATCAGTTAATTTAGAGAACTTTTATAAAAGGTCGTGTAAGCAGTGGACAGGTAAAAAGACTGAAAGTTCAAACAAATAATATTAGTCGAGCGAGACGAATTATATGCCCTTGCTCATGAAGAGTCTTTAAAAAACGAAATTATGTCGTAAAAATACTATTTCAGAACTTCAATGAACAATAACATGAGTATTTACAATATTTAATCGTCTACATGGTATAGATGAAAGGAAGTAGAAATCTATAGTAATATTATAAAGCTAAAGAGTTTTTTGGTTGAACGCGCTAATCTCATGAACTACGAATTCGTTTTCAAAAATTATTTTTGCATTAGATAGCCTGTCAATCGAAGAAAGCTATAGGCTATATATATTAGTACTCGTATATCACTCCTGAAAAATGTACAGTTGCCGCGGGATAAATTTGTTTTTGTCTAGGGCCGAGCCCGAAGCAAAGCGAGGGTGAGTCGCTAGTCATTATATACTTTTAAATTATTGAATTAAACCAATTCCAAAATATATTCAGACTGTTTTGAAGTAGAACATTGGCAACCTATTACGACCTCATTATTACTTGTTAAAGCTCAAATACAATTTAGGGTTCGCTTTGTGAAAGGCCGGGTCGGGATTATACCTTTAAAGGGTATGCCTTTCTTACCTTTACACACTTCGATCTTTTGAACGGCAATACGTAGCCGGTAGACTTTTAGATAGAAATGGAATACTTATGTGAATATTATGGTGTAAAATGCAAAGAACATGTTTTCAAGTATTTGTCTTTTGCACCATTATCAAAGCGACACGAAGTCATGAACGTCAAACATGGTGAGTATATTGGGTTTTTAAAACAACAAACAGATAGACAGCTGAATTTGTGAACTTATTTCAAATATATTGTATAAAGTAGGTCTGTGATCAATTCAACTTTCGAGTTATGTACGATAAAACTTTTACAGAATAGCCGACTGATCGAGTACGAACGGATCCTATCGCGTTTGATCTACGATGTTTAAGCAAGTGTTTAAAGTATATACACAGGTTAATAAAATGTAAAGGATTGTTTAATGTGGTATTCTTGTAGGTCAGTGTTTTGATTTTTGCGCTCATTACTTAATTTTGATATTAAGTACGTCAAAAACAAATTATAATTTGTTAAAATAATTATTTATATAAAGTTTAGTTCCATCACAATCACAAGCTTATTTCCTCTTGTTAGATATTTCATGCTTCCTTATCTCCTCAGAGATGTATGAGCTAACAAATAATAATTTTGACAGATGTGAACTTACTCAGTCACCTCTAGTCGTTAAAACTAAAAAAGATTAAAAGCCTGAGATTAAAACTGCGTGACATATTATATAGCCGAAGGAAACTCTTTATGAACCAACAAAAAACAAAGCATAATAAAGAAGCAATAGCCTACTAAATACTGACAATGACATTGAAATTGATATTTTTAACGACACTTTAAATAACTTCAAAAAAAAAAATATTTGTATGACTGAACGGTGTTTTCTAGTACTAATATAATTATATAATTTTATATATAGTAGTTTCAAATTATAAATATTAATTATTATTTTTATTGTATGAGTCTAATTTTGACATTAATTTATATTGTAATTAATTTAATTAAAGTATATAATATGTGTTCACGAGTTTGAATTCTTGTAATCTTTAAGTTAATTTTATCTATTATAAAATATATTTGTTAGAAATTGTATTTAACATTTCATATATTATTGTTTTAAAGCCGGAAATGTAATCAATGTTGTGTATGCCTATAATTAATGCTTGTACTAGAATAAGTAATCTTATAACATAATAATTTAGAATTTAGGTACAATGTATTGTTGGCATATCTTGCAAATAAATAAATAAAAAGCTTAGATGGATAAATGGGAAATCGATCGATTTTATGCGGATTTTTTACAAGTAAAAAGCTAAGCTAGATTTTTGAAATGGTTATAAGAAATAATTCTATTTTATTTAAGGCAAACTAAAGTCACAGCACAAATATACAAATTGTACAATGAAAGGGTTACTCTATTGCTATCGATTCTGCACATAACAAAAAGAATATAAATCTTTCTTTCGAAGATTATCTTTCAAGGCTTGGACGGAGCAGGACTTCTTTTAACGCACAACATTCTGGCGAAATCGCAATTATTTGATAACATTAAACACAAAACAATACATTTGAATACATATTATGTATATATTACGGTTTTAAATTGACGAAGATCTGTAGAACCGTCAGTACTCAGTAGTTAGTAGTTGACAGACATATCGACTTGAAAGAATTTGCTAATTTACTTTCTTTTCGTTTACTTAGTTCATGATTTTTTTAGTCATCAATAATTATAAACCATAATTATTTTATACTAGAAGAACCCGCGACTTCGCTCGCGCTAAAAAAACTACAAAAAAGCTCTAAAAAGGTAGGTTTCATAAAAAATTTTATCCCCTATTTTACCATTATATGGGATTCATTTCGAAGAATGCTATACCACTTATTTATTTAATTATATTGATGAGCATTAATACCAAGTTTTTTGGGTTGTATTATAGCATGATTTATCGTGGGAATGAGCTAATTTCCTGCGGTAAAAAGAAACCTATGTCACTTTCCAGCGCTCCAACTGTCTCCACACAAAAATCACGTCAATATGTCACTCTGTTTCGACGTGAAAGAAGAACAAACAAACAAACACGCTATCACATTTATAATATTAGTATGGAAGTGTGGATTTACATTTAAAATATCGTTTTAAATTTTATTCATGTTTAAATCTACAGTTTATAAAGCCCATTAATCCGTCCGCATCGCCGCGCGCGTCCGACGCCGTGCAAATTTACTTAGTGAAATAAAGAATAAAAATAACAGCAGGTTTAGTGGAGAATATAGGAAAATATAAATAAAACATTACGTTTTAACAATTTTCGTAGTCGCTACAAAGCGAGGCGGGACATTCCCGCCGGGCGCGTTTTCTACAAATTTGTTGTTTTATTCGAATAAAAGCAATTGTTGTTGACCATAATAATTAAAATAATTAAATAAATGAATAAATATGTTCTGATATACACATATTTACCTTTTGAGGTACCTACGGAAGCCTAAATATAATTATTTTATACTAGCAGAACCCGCGGCTTCGCTCTTGCTAAGACTACAAAAAATCTCTAAATTCTATATTAAATAAATGTATAAATATGTGAGGACATAAACACACAGCACTATCTAGTTCCATGGTAAGCTACGAGGCTTGTGTTATGGACACCAGATAGTTGATACACTACACTAAAATACATACATACATACATATTAAGACTGGTGTCGCGGTTTCTTAATTTAAAGAGAGAAATAAAATTCAATATCAAGTTTTACAAGTGTATTAAAATATAGTTACGTAGTACAAATAACAATATTCACGTATCCTAAGTAGGGATTATTACTATTAAGTTAAAAGGTATATACAATAAGAGAACACTTTTTCGATACTATATGATATTAAAATGAAATAATAATAAACTAAGATTAAGGTTATTCGGGTTCGTGGTCGTGGGTTCACGCAAGAAAAAGTCTAGCATTAACAATTGTAAGATAAAAAAAATATTACTGTCCTGGCTAGCGACACGGTAGGTGTAGCTTAATTTTCATCCCCGGGTAAGTCCGCGCTTGTAGCCGGATAATGAAGTCTCAGGACACGGGAGTCTGGAATGTTCGGTGAAGTCCTCAAACGCCCTTGAGTGACCTCTAACGTCCTTGCATGACCTCTGATGTCCTTGTGCGTTTCGGATGTCTTCCGAGAGTGAGACATTTACGTAGAAGTTAAGAAAACCCTGTAACGTACATATTCAGACATTTTAACAAATGACTGATTTCGTACACCTGACTGCAACATCCTATTTTTCCGATGTGATAAGTTTTTGATACCACGCTAAACACAGGATAGTAATATTCAATATACATTGATATATTAATAGATGAGGCAGTCCAGGCGTAACAAAATGTGTTTGTAAAAATAATTCTAGCATACAAAGGAAATAAAGTTTAACAGCAGAAGTTATATTAATCAAATAAAAAAAAACAAGGTACAAACATTTCTTAAACAAAATAAGCATAAATATTGATGAAAACAAGGATTGCTTTTAACTACTTTCTAAAATACTTATATATTTTTTAACGATGACGGTAGATATAGGTACATGTAAATTATATGGACTATTAACTCTAATATCTAAAATATAGGAAATCGTTTTACAACACTTACCTAGTCTGGGGTTAGTAAAAACTTACGAAGATGAAGATTAATTAAACTATTAAAATAAGTGCACACTACATTGTAGTAAAATAAGACTAGGGTGCAGCCGTCCGCGGTCAAGACGTGAAGTGATCTCTCGCTGTCTCTTCAACTCGTTTCACGCCGGCTGACCGATTAAAAAAAGGTCGCGTTGTAATGACGCAGCGTTTTTATATGTCCGCGTAATATAGACAATGAGAAATGTATTCTAATGTTTCTTTTGATATAATCTGTGCGAATGTGTTTTGTAATTAAGATAAATAAGGATATTTTACATACCCCCCCTTTCACGGTAGGATTTTTCGTAGGAAAAATCCACTAAAGAAGGGAAAAATACAATAAACAGCTGAGCTAGTTTACGTTACCGTCCCTTTTCAAATCTTTCATGTGCCATATCCCTAAGTTTTTATTGTTATTAAAGTCCTGCAGTTCATAAATAAGTGGAGATCGCTTGCCTACTACACGGCATTTTAAAAATTTAGGAGCCAGTTTTTTTGCAAAACGAGAATCCTTATCACTTAAATAGTAAGTTCGTTTCCAAACGATATCGCCTATATTAAATTCATTCACTTTACGACGCAAATTATAGTAGCTACTATTTCTTGAGTGCGCTTTGAGCAACGCTAATTGTACTTTATCAAAACATTTATGAAGTGTTCCTAGATTTTCCGCGTAATCATCTCGAGGTGAAAATATTATGTTTTCAGTCATATCTACGTCTATATAATGAGAACCACAAGGGACTAGTTCACGACCAAATACAAGGAAAGATGGAGTAAATCCAGTTGCTTCATTTACTGAGGAGTTGAGTGCAAATTGAATTTTAGGTATGTTAGTGTCCCACAAGCGGTGATCATTCTCAATATACGAGGAAATAGCAACTATTATCGTTTTATTATATCTTTCGACTGTATTGACTTGAGGTGTATATTTAGGTGTATATTGTATGTTTGGAATTTCATATTTAGTAAGCAGATTCTTAAATGTACTGCTAGTAAATTGCTTACTATTGTCCATTAAAACTGTACTTGGTATGCCATGAACTAGAAAAACCTTTTCTTCTAATATGTGACTAAGAATATTCGAGGTTGCACGCTTTATAGGAAATAACAGAGAGTATTTAGAAAAGCAGCATGTAACTACAAAAATAAAAGTGTTCTGTTTTCGAGTTACTGGTAGTGGACCAATAAGATCCATACTTAGCATCTGGAATGGTCTAGAACATTCTTTAGGCCTACCCATAGTTCCTGAAGTGAGATGATTAGGGTGTTTATGTGCATTACAAGTATCACAATTGGTAATGAATTTTGTAATATCTTGTTACATTTTAGGCCAGAAATGTCTAAGGCACAACCGTTTAAGCGTTTTAAATATGTCAAGATGACCGGCAGTTGGATCTGAATGATTTTTTTCAATAATACTTTGTCTACGCTCTGACGGGATAACTTCTTTCCATTCAAATTCTCTTGTCAAGGGATTTATACTTTTAATGAAACGATACAATTTATTATTTATTATTTTATAATTAGGAAAGTGTTTTGGAGAATTAAGACAGCCATTGAAAATATGTAAATACCAAGAATCGTATGTTTGTAGAACGTTGTCACTGCTGTAGTTTGCATCTATAACAGAAATAGGTACCGAGCGTGAAAGACTATCAGGGACTATGTTTTCTGCACCACGACGAATCGGGGGAGCGTCCCCGGTATCAATGGTATGAGTAATTATGTTGGTTCTGCCTAACCCACATTCTTCATACGAGATTTTACGGAACTGAGTAATGATATCATTAGCAACCACTTTTTGAAATTAATTTAAATTGTCATAAGAAGATAAATGCGTTGAATTTTCCTTTAAGGAATTAGTAAGACCACTACATTTATCCAATAACTCAACTGCGTCTAAATGTTTAGGAAATATATCGAATATTCTCCAAAAGTTCATACCTAAAATCAGTATATCTTGTATTTCAGGAACAATAAACATCTCAATAGTGTGAGTTTGATTCCTAAAGGTTACAGGTAATTTTATTTTACCTAATGGAGATAGTGACTGCCCACCAGCGGCAGTAAATTTTAAATTTGTGTCACATTTTAGTATTTCTACGTTACAGTCTATCAGCTTTTCGTGAATACCATTACCCAATACTGAGATAGAAGACACAGAATCAAGTAGACCAACTAAATCATATTTATTATTAATTTGTATAGTTATGTATGGCCTAGAAAATTTTGTATCCCGGATAGAGGAGATCGAATAACAAGAAAAAAATTTTGAAACAACATTTAACCAATTAGACCAGTCACTTTGACAGAAGCTACTATGCTTGTGTGTGACGCGTTCTCCTCGATCCGTAGTTACTAGTTTTTTGAATTACTGTTACAGTCAGGGCAGTCTGGAAAACGGACATCCTTTTTTCCACATTTAAAGCATATGATAGTACGTGGTTTGTAGCATTCCTTAAGGGAATGTGTATGAGACCTACACCAGGGACAGAAGCGATGTTGCTTTATCTCTGTACTGTTAACTGGAACAACGGTATTTGGCATTTCTTTTTTATGCAAGGAGAAATTATTATTATAATTGTTAGAGTGAGGTTTTGAAAAACTTTTATTGTGTATATTTTGAGACTTCTTATAATTACTACTAGCGGCTCACCCTCGCTTCGCTCGGGTTCACCTCTAGAAAACACACACACACACAAACAGATCTATCCCACGGGAACCGTTCATTTTTCCGGGATGAAAAGGAACCTGTTGTTTGACCGGCAATAGAAGGTATCAGCATGCCAAATTTTACTAAATTAGGTGCTTAAGTTGTTGTGTACTAAGCTATATAAGTTACTATAGTCTTTTAAATATCCCACGGAAACTCTTTAATTTTCTAGAATGAAAAGTATCTTAGATGATGACCGGAGATATAAGGTACTACCATGCAAAATTTCATTTAAATCATTTCAATAGTTTCGGAGATTAGCCCGTACAAACAGACAAACAGACAGAGAAACAAAAAAATGAAAAAAAGCAGGATTTGTTCTATTTCTCTTCTTTCGGGATGTTAGAAGAGAACTGACTCGGTTTTTAGCATTTTTTTTCTAACCTCTACAGTTTTATTACTTATAGAATAAATAACGTATAATAAAACAGTAATGTATAATAATTAAAAAAGTTATAGCAAGTGTACCTTAGGAGATAGACATATACTATGTAAAACTTTTCTATAGACCTTTTTAAGACTTACAATTTTCTTGCACAATGTTTTGATCTATCTCTTAAGGTTGAGCCAACGTTAGTCATATAAATTTCTAAGGACGATTCGATAGAACCAGTTATTGAGTTTTCCCGTGGGAATGAATAATTTACAAAAGGTATCCTAAATGTCGACCCGAGTACTAATTTATATATACAAAATTTAGTTAAAATCAGTTCAGTACTTTTTGCGCAAAACGCGCACATCGATTTGACTAAGTTAGTTTTATTATAGGTATAGATAAGAATAGATATTGCTTAGGAGATACACATAATCTATTCAGAACTTTCCTGTAGGACTTTTCAAGACCTACAATTTTTTAGTATATTGTTTTGATGTATGTATGTCTTAAGGTTAAGCCAGCGGAAGGTTTCTAGGGAGTACTCGATAAAACCAGTTAATGTATCTTCCCGTGAAACGCGCATACAAAAACAGACAAATAGACATACAGGCAAACAGACAAACAGACTATTTTTTTAATAACTATTGTTTTGGGGTCTATGTTGTGTACATAATACGTTACAAATAAACGAAAACATCTATCCCACGCGAACTGTATATTTTTCCTGAATAAAAAGTGACCTATTTGTTATTCTGATGTATGACCTATATTATTGTAAAGTTTCATCAAAATCCAATTAGTAGTTTTTGTGTACTAAGCTGAATAAGTTACTATAGTTTTTTGACTGTCCCACGGGAACACTTTAATGTTCCGGGGTCAAAAGTAGCAGATTTGTTATTGTCATGTATGATCTATATGATTGTAAAGTTTCATTAAAATCCAATCAGTAGTTTTTGTGTACTAAGCCGTATAAGTTGTTATAGTTTTTTAACTATCCCACGGGAACTCTTTAATTTTCCGGGATGAAAAGTATCTAAGATGTTGCCCGGGGATATAAGGTACCACCATGCAAAATTTCATTTAAATCGGTTCAATAGATTCGGAGACTAGCCCGTACAAACAGGAAAACAGACAAACAGCTCGCTCGCGTTCGTCCATATCTACGAATATGTTGTATTATCTCTTTAACCATTTGTCCAAATTATATGCAGTAAAAGGGAAAAGTCTTTTGTTTATTTTGATAAGAATTCATAATTATTGATAATATGACCAATAAACATGACCTACCGATTTAAATAATTTTTTTAATATAAAAAACTACTTTTTGTGACTTAAATATAAAAGTTAGACATATACTGTCGCTGATTTTTTTGTAGGCATTATTAAGCTGTACAACTTTTCTCTAGAACATAATCATATATCTCTAATTGTTAAGGCAGTGTTCGTAAGAAACGTTTTCGTTCGACCGTTTTTTCTCCGACTTACTTTGCAAATCCGACTATCACGAAAAAGCCTTTTCATTCTTCGGGTTAACATATAGCCTATGACACTCAGAAAGAACGTGGCTTTCTATTGGTAAAAGAATTTTGAAAATCGGTTCAGTAGATCCAGAGATTACTCCCTACAACGTCACAAACTCACAAACTCACAAACCCACAAACTCACAAACTCACAAGATCACAAACTTTACCTCTTTATAATATTAGTATAGATTAATAAAACATGCACTACGATAAGCAAATTCGGGTGCAACAGTATTATCAGAAACGTTAGGTGGTTCGTGAAATTGTGTAAGTCGAGACTGTATATTTTCATAATTCCGGCAAAGTTCTTTTAATTGTTCAATACTTTTAATTTCACTTACTGACGAAAGCGTACTCGCATAACAAAGTCGAATGTTATGTAATAATATTTCTAATTTGTCTTCGTCATTCATGGACTTACCTAGTCTAGAAAACATACCGTGCATAATAGATAAGTAAATAGCTATACTCTCATTTTCACCCTGAGTACGTGACCTAATCTCAGCTAAAAGACGATAGTCATAATCCTTAGAACTAAAATCGTCTTTGAGGCGTACTAAATCGTTCCATGATGTAATGTTGTCCTTTACGTACCTATACCAATGAAGGGCATCGCCAGTAAAAATTTCGTATGCGAAATTCAGTATCCTATCATACGTTATGCCTCTAGAACAAACAAATTCTTCAACTTCCTGGATGAAGGCGCGGACACATGTTTTACCAGAATATTTAAGTTTTTCTATATCATATATTATAGTACGTTCGCACGCGACAGGTAGAACTGTAGGGTCACCTTGATTTTCTGACGATACAAGAGAAGTTTGTGATTTCATAGTTGATATTTCCTTGTACAATGATTTAAAATTCGATTGATTTATTTTAAACAAATCAGATAATTCCGATGAAGGTGTAATTCTGTTAAGACGATGATGTATATGATTTAATAACGTTTCAGTTCTAAGAAAAAGATTTTTATCAAGTCTACCTCTCAATGTTACTACGTTATTTAGCGCTTTACTTATTGACTCCTTCACACATTTAAGATCCTCGACTGGCTCTAAGTGAGATTCCAGAATATCCTCTGATGGTAATTTATTACAAATTTTTACGATTTGTGCACGAAGTTCCTGCACAGAATCGCCTGGAGTATAACGGCGGACTGCTACCTCATATTCAAGTTCTTGTTTTTGCAAAGATAAATATTTGATATGATAAGCCGATAGTGCAAAAAAATAATAATAATAGTAATATTAGAAGTATTTAAATAATACTAATATGCTAGCAATAGTTATTTAAATAAATATTAGAAGTAGGTATGTATTGGTAGTGGTATGACTATAGTTTTTTCACTATCTCACGAGAACTCTTCAATTTTTCGGAATAAAAAGTATCTTACATGTTGACTGGGGATATAAGGTATGCTTAGGTAGAAGTAGACTGCGTTTAAGTTGGAATTTAGTCCCCTTATGTTGCAGAAGTCCACAGCAAGTGTGAAAGGGGTAGCCTTATGTTGCCTGCTCCGTTTGCCCCGAACAGAAGTCGAGAGCGCAAAATTGCCCCCCAGAATTCAGAGGGCAGCCTGGGCACCCACGCTCAGGTAGTGTACGAGCTGAACATGGATGCCCAGAGAGGCATTCTCCACCGCAATGTGCGCTGGTGGTAATCTCTTGGGGTAGACTGACCGAATTTCACACAATCATAAATTTAGTGGTGTGGGGGAGGGGTGTTGAGTGGGCCTCCCGGGACTCTCACTTACCGAACGAAATGCGACAGCATAGCTGCCACTTTACGCCAACTTCTGTGAGAGAGTGGTATTTTACGGGACGTGCCGGCCCATTCGGCCGCTACCCGAAGGTAACTAGCATGGCACTACCACAGTTTTGGTTGACAATCAGTCAACCAAATGGCACTGGTGGAATAATCTCTGTCACTAGATTATCCCACCAGCGGGCGGTGGAGTCGTCACGTCCCTACACCGAAAAAGTGTAGACGTAATAAACAGGTAATTCGTAAGAAAAAAGTTTTTTAATAACATATTCGTTTAAGCAATTTATTTCAAAAAAATATTTATTGTTGATATTTTAAAAAACCGCTCGACCGATTTCCATAAAATTTCCCTTTGAAACAAAAAAAAAATCCAAATTGGTTCAGGCGTCTTCGAGTAATCGGTGTACATACATAAAAAGAAAGATTCCGACGAATTGAGAACCTCCTCTTTTTTGGATCATTTAAGATAATGGATTTAAGATTTCATGAGCCGTTATCGCAAAAATAGTATATTGTAAATATTTTCAAAAATTTTGAACGCAAAAAGAACTAAAGTATCGTATCAATAGCAGTTCTACAGCGCGAGCAGCAGAGCCGAGCTTTGCAAACATTCAAATATATTTTCCACTGGAACTTTTAAAAGTACTTAAAGATATCGTGCGACACCGCCACTTGATAGCGGGTTTCGGTTACAACTTTTGTTCGTAATTGTGTTCTGTCTTTTGAAATTATTCCTTATTAAATACTGTCGAAAAGAAATAACAAAGCTTTTTTTTCCTTAATAACTTTGCTAGCACTCGAGTGGCAAGAAGATAATTGACTTCAAAAAAGGGCTCAGAGTTCGATCTTAATGATATCTTTACCAGTTGTTATATCTATACTCCTACACATATAATAAAATTCTGAGTTGAATCTGTACATTAAGTAATTTTTGGAAAATCTTATTGAAATAGTCATTATTATCGATACATAGGTCTATAGTTTTTAGAATTTTTGTCTGTCTGTCTGGGAAAGTATCACGAGAAAACCACTGGACAGATTTGGATGTTTGGTATGATTATAGCTGGCTATCCGGGCAACATATAGGATACTTTTTACTGCGGGAAAATATCTAATCTCTGAGAAATCTATACTAACCGTTAAAACGTTCGTAGAGACGAACTCGAGCGGAGAGTAAGTCGCTAGTTAGATATACATAATATACTAGCGTTTACCTGTGGCTTCGCCCACATAGTACATTAATCACCAACGTATAATATACATAAACTTCTCCGCAATACGCTGCAACTTATGGTATGAATATTATTCCGATCGGTTCAGTAGTTATCGCAGTATAACCGAACACAAAACATCGGCTCTGCGTTTATTAGTATAGATTGAATTTGCCTGCCTTGGTGGTGTAGTGGCTAGCATGTACGGCTGCACACCCGGAGGTCCTGGGTTCGAGTCCCGGGTCGGGCCAAGTTTAGTTATTGAGTTTTTCTGTAAAGTAAGCCTCAGTAACAGCCCGGAGTTGGGAAGTTGGCGGTGTTTCACCCCCGTGCCTCGGAGAGCACGTAAAGCCGTCGGTCCTGCGCCTTAACTCTCACTGGTCGTGTCGAGCAGTAATCCCACTGGAGTATGAGAGTGATAGTAACAGAGAGTGCACCTGTGTCTGCGCGTACACTTGTGCACTATAACATCTCCTGTGCAGTTGGCTAGTCTCAATGAGATTGGCCGCCGTGGCCGGAATCGGTCAGGAAAATATCATCGTCATCATCATAGATTGAATTGTATTTGAGAAAATCTTGAATGTAATATAGTGTGGAACTTATTCAAAGAAGACGCGTTCAACGTTCAATGTTTAATTTCTATTAAATCATTTAAATTTTATTGCCTATCAATTCATATTATTGTTTTAAATAAAACTAACTTTTAGGATTTTTTCGCGTTTTTTTTATTTCTGGTTCTAGACAGCAAGAGGATGACTTTTATTTAAAATGTCAAATATTTACGTACATCTAAGAAATTATTATATTACTGTTTTAGCAATGTTAATCTACACATATAATAAAATTGTAACTAAGCCGAATCTGTACATTAAATATTGTTTGGAAAATCTTATTGAAAAGGATATTACTATCGATACAGAGGTCAAATCTATAGTTTTTAGAATTTTTGTCTGTCTGTCTGTTACCGCGTCACAGAAAAACCACTGGAGGGATTTTGACAAAATTTGGTATGGTGATAGCTGGTTATCCGGGTCAACATATAGGGTACTTTTTACCTCGAGAAAATATCTCATTTCTGAGAAAAAATATAAAAACTGCATTGTAAGACTATACTAATATGTAAAACCTAAGAATTTGGTTTTTTGTCATCTGAACGCGGGCGGAGCCGCGGGCAATCCTAGTTATATAAAAAAAATAGAGAAAAATAAAATTGTCGGCGCGTCTCCCTCTTACCGGGCGCGTGACGTATGAGCTGCGCGGGCGGGGGACCCTCCCCGACCGCGAGCGCATCTGATCGCGCCACTTCGCCTACCTGCGCGCTGGACTACGGACACTTCCCCAAAACTCTTAATTTGATTATACGTACTTTATATACAGTCCACTACTTTTATTAAAGTCCCGTTACGGCCTACACAAAGTTGTGGTCCTACGAGCAAAACGTTGATTCCTACGAAAATCAAGTCGTCGACGTCAGCGCGGTCAACGGTTGTACTTTGACCGTGACAAGGTGACAAGGTGACAAGCACATTTTTCAAACAAAGAAAAAAGAAGTCGTTGCCGTAGCCGCCTGCAGCGTCATCCAAAGGAGGCTGAAGTCATTCAGGGAGTATTATAACAGTATTTGAGTGTGTTTGTTCCAATTAGTTATTCCTATTTTCTTTTTACGCCAAAAATCATTTTTAAATCTTCCACGTCATTATTCATATGCACAGCTTTAGAACAAATACGTTAATTCTTAATTATTTAAATTGCTAATAACTACGTAATACGCAGGTGTCATTCTTGACCTTGACCGAGTCATTAGCTTATCGGGCCTATTGTTCTCGCACATCTGTTTCTTTAGTTTTTATTTTTTATACGTAAGTCCTTAGCGTTTGCATTTAACTTATTTATTTAAAATGGCAGATAATTATAAAACATTGATTAAAAAACGTAGCTCAATAAAATCAAAGGTCACTGTTTTTAATAATTATTTAAATTTAATTAAAAGTAGCCCAGAGATTTCTGCATTGCAACGCTCACACTTACAAGAGCGTTTGATTAAATTCGAAACCCTTTATGATACTTTCGACGATTTACAGACTCAGATCGAGGTGCTCGCTGACGACGACGAGTCTGCGTTAACTGAGCGTGAGGACTTTGATCGCCAGTTCTTTAGCCTGGTGGCACTCACGCGCAGCCTGCTCGGCGTTTCGTTCAACGGTGCTGGGTCTGAGGCGGGCTTCAAAGATGCTGACTCAGGTGCACATACTTCCAATTTTGTTCGTTTGCCTAAAATAGATTTGCCTCATTTCGATGGGAACTATCAATGCTGGCTCGAGTTTAGAGAAACATTTACGTCACTAGTTCACAACAACGCGAGTATAAATGACATCACTAAATTTCATTATTTACGAGCTTCATTGCACGGAAGTGCAGCTCTTATTATTGAAAATATTGATTTTAGGGGTGACCATTATACTATTGCATGGGAGTTGTTATGTGAGAGGTATAACAATAGTCGCATTCTTATAAGCAATCATATCCAAGCTTTTTTTGATATCGAGCCAATATTGAAACAATCGAGCATCCCTATTAGAAATTTAGTAGACATTATAAACAAAAATGTAAGAGCATTAACAAAACTTAAACAGCCCGTTCAATTTTGGGACACATTGCTTTTACACATTTTAGTTAAAAAATTAGACTTTATTACTAGTCGTGACTGGGAAGAACATAGGAGTCTTACAATTAAGGATGATCCTACCTTAAAACAATTTTGTTCATTTTTAAGTAGGAAAGCAGACTGGTTAGTATCCGTTGAACCTGATGCTAACTCAAGTAATAATTCTAATCCTTGTAATATTAATGCATTAAATAATAATCAGGTAAACTTAAACACTACTCAAATTAATAAAAAATCTAAAAACAATAATTATAATAACTTTATTAAATGTCCTCATTGCTCCCAATCTCATTCGTTGTATAAATGTGAATCTTTCAGAATCTTATCAATTGAAAATCGCATTAAAAAAGCTAATGATTATAATGTTTGTCTTAACTGCTTACGCTTTGGACATACTGCTAAGCAATGCAAACTATCTCATTGTAAATATTGCAAAACAAAACATAATACTTTATTGCATTTAGAATCTACTGAACCCAAACAATCTTCCAAACCATGGCTTTCTGCTTCGCCTTCCGCATCAAATGTTATGCTATCAGCTACTTCTATGCAGCTTGCTACTTCTGCGCATGTTTTACTGTCCACAGCTATGGTGAACGTGATCAGCGCGACCGGTAAGAAGTACGCAGCCCGTCTATTGCTGGACAACGGTAGTACGGCGAATTTTATAACGCAAAGCTTATCAGAGAAACTGGGTTTGTCACTAAGCGGTGCGAGCACCAAGGTAACAGGTTTAAATAATCATATATCCACCAGTACACAGTCTTGTAATCTCACAATAGAGTCTTTATGCTGTGCCTTTACTGTCGATGTCGAGTGTCATATTTTGCCTGAAATTACAAAGTTTTTACCGTCTTCATACGTGAACATCGAACATGTCCCTATTCCTTCAGGTCTTAAGTTAGCAGACCCGAACTTTAACGTTCCGTCGGTTGTAGACATCCTGGTAGGGGCTGAAATATTTTGGAGTGTGTTAGGCAAAAACTCCATAAACTTAGGAAAAAATCGACCTAAATTATTTGAAACTAAATTTGGATGGCTAGTTTCAGGTAGCATTTCGAACCAAAGTTCTTCTTTTTCCCATTTTTGCCACCATTCCAGCGTCACTCCCGACTTAACTCGATTTTGGGAGCTTGACAATGTCTCTTTAAAACATTCGCACTCTCTTGAAGAACGAATGTGTGAACAAATATTTGTTCAAACCACCGTCCGTAACATTGATGGTGGGTTCGTTGTTACTATGCCTTTAAAGGGGGATCTTAGCACTCTAGGTTATTCATATGAAAACGCGAAAAAACGGTTTTTATCTCTAGAGCGGCGATTCAAACGTGATCCTTCGTTCAAACTTAAATACAACGAGTTCATGCGTGAATATGAACGTCTAGGTCATATGTCACTAGATACTTTTTCTGACCATGTTTCCATCTCTGAAGACTCGGAGGTTAAACATTACATTCCACATCATGGAATAGTTCGCACCTCTAGCACCACTACACAACTACGCGTAGTATTCGACGCATCAGCCCCTACTAGTACGGGGGTGTCTCTTAACGACATTCAAATGGTCGGTCCCGTAGTTCAAGACGATCTGTTTAGCATATTAACACGTTTTCGTCAGCATAAATATGTGGTCTCAGGTGACGTAGAAAAAATGTACAGAGCCATAGAACTTAATCCAAACCAACGAAATCTTCAAAAAATCGTTTTCCGATATGATTCATCAGAGCCTCTAAATACCTATACTTTAAATACGGTCACTTATGGTACCGCATCTGCTCCCTATTTAGCCACTAAGTGCTTAGTAAGTTTGGCTGATGATGTAGAGGATAATCGTGTTCAATCCGCTATAAGGCGAGATTTTTACGTAGACGACTATCTAAGTGGGGGAAGTACCATAGCCCAGACTGTCGAAATTTCAAAAAAGGTACAATCGGTTCTGTCTCTTGCTAAATTTAACTTGCGTAAATGGCGATCCAATCATCCAGATATTCTTAAGCAAATTACACAATGCAATGAAACAAATAATATTTTACAGTTTACAGAGCAAAGTCAACATTTCAGTCAGTCTAAAACTCTAGGGCTTAATTGGGTATGTGATTTAGATTTACTTACATACTCTATTAACATTACGCCTTCAACTAAGATCACTAAACGCCATGTCCTCTCTGTCATCAGTCAGATCTTTGACCCATTAGGCCTCGTAGGTCCTTGCGTTGTCGAAGCAAAAATTATCATGCAGCGTCTTTGGCTTGATAAATATGACTGGGACGACGAAATAGCGGTCGAAATTAAAAACCTTTGGTCTACGTATGAAAATACAATTACATCTTTAAATTATTTAAAAATACCTCGTTGGGTTTTGCATGAAGACTCTATTATGCACGAAGTACACGTCTTTACAGATGCCTCCGAAAAAGCGTATGGCGCTTGTGTGTACATTCGTTCCTGTAATAGTATTGGAACCACAGGGGTACACCTTTTAGTCTCTAAAAACCGTGTAGCGCCCATAAAACCTACGACGATTCCAAGGCTTGAACTTTGTGGGGCTTTGTTGGGTGCAAGACTGTATACTAAGGTGCTAGAATCGCTTACCATACCAATTCATAACTGTAGATTCTGGTGTGACTCTACAATAGTATTGGGTTGGCTCTCCACTCCTTCTAAACAATTAAAACCTTTTGTTAGGAATAGAGTCCATGAGATTCAAGAGAGCACGTGTGGTCATACCTGGAGCTACGTACCGTCGAATGACAACCCGGCGGATCTTGTTTCCCGTGGTCTTCGGGCCGACGTAATTAAGGACACACCTCTATGGTGGTCTGGTCCCTCCTTTTTATTTCACGTTGAAAATGCATGGCCCAAAATGCCAAATACAGAGAAACACGATTTGCCGGAAGTAGTATCTAATTTCATTAGTAGTGATAGTAGCGAAAACAATCATTCATACGTCATTCATAATTCAGACATAAACATTAATTCATCTATCATTCATAATTTATTACAAAAACATTCTAGCTTAACAAAAATTCAAATTATAATTACTTATGTACAAAGATTTATTAACAACTTAAAAAATAAAATTAAATCACGTGGTAGTCTTTCAAATGCAGAACTACAAAATTCATTAAACTTGATTATACATTATTCACAACTTGAAATGTTTCCTGAAGAATATAATCTCTTAAAGTCTGGTAAAAAATTACCTCGCAAAAGTAAATTGCTTCCTTTAACTCCGTTCATAGACGATCAAAACCTTATTCGCGTGGGCGGGAGGCTTGATAATTCCCCCTACGATTTTAGTGTGAAACATCCCATTGTAATTTGTAGCAAACATATATTAACTAAACTTATATTTCAAATGCAACATTTAAAACTTTTACATGCAGGTCCGCAATTGCTTTTGTCACATATAAGACAAACATATTGGCCCCTAGGAGGTAGAAACTTATCTAGACTTGTCGTGAACAAGTGTCTTAAATGTTTCAGATACAAGGCTCAAAATGTTCAGCCTATAATGGGTCAACTTCCACATTCAAGGACTCATCTTGAATTTCCATTTTTACATTGTTATGTTGACTACGCAGGGCCAGTATTGATCGCCGATCGGAAAGGTCGCGGCAGCAAACTCATAAAATCATATATGTGCATCTTTGTTTGCTCAGCAGTGTAAGCTGTACATTTGGAACTCGTCTCCGACCTCACCACCGACGCGTACATGGCTGCTTTAAATCGTTTCGTGGCGCGTCGAGGCAAGCCTCGAAGCATCACGTCCGATAACGGGACGAATTTCGTAGGCGCATCAAATGACTTACTTAGGTTTTTACGATCGTCTAATGTTGCATCTGAGATAGCTCAGGAGGGTATCGAATTTAATTTCACGCCAGCATATAGCCCCCACTTTAATTCACTAGCTGAAGCTGCTGTTAAATCGTGCAAACATCATTTAAAAAGATTATTGCATTTAACCCATTTTACGTTTGAGGAGATGGCCACCTGTCTCACTCATATAGAGGCGGTCTTGAATTCGCGCCCTCTTACTCCTCTTTCATCAGACCCTAAAGATTTTTCGGCACTTACTCCCTCTCATTTCCTAATTGGACGACCACTCTTATCTGTTCCTTACCCCCTGCTGACTAATGCCAATATAACGAGGCTCGACCGATGGAAAAGAATCCAATTCATCCGACAGCACTTTTGGAGGAGATTCCATAATGAGTACATTTCATTACTACAGGCCAAATCGAAATGGTTTGATTCCAGAGGGGAAGTGAAGCCTGGATCCCTGGTCCTCATCAAGGATAAAGCTACACCACCGTTGCTCTGGTCCCTGGGTCGGGTCACGAAGACCTATCCCGGCGTCGACGGAGTCACGCGAGTAGCTGAGATGAAGACGAAGAAGGGTACTGTGCGTCGTGCCTTCAACTGCATCTGCCCTCTTCCGATTGAATCTTGAAGATCTCTTCAACCCGGGGAATATGTCGGCGCGTCTCCCTCTTACCGGGCGCGTGACGTATGAGCTGCGCGGGCGGGGGACCCTCCCCGACCGCGAGCGCATCTGATCGCGCCACTTCGCCTACCTGCGCGCTGGACTACGGACACTTCCCCAAAACTCTTAATTTGATTATACGTACTTTATATACAGTCCACTACTTTTATTAAAGTCCCGTTACGGCCTACACAAAATTAATACTACAACGATGAATAACTTGTAATTTTTAATATTTACAAGGATAAGAAAATTTAATTGAAATCTCAAAGCTACTGAAGCTGACGGTCAAACAGACAAACGGATAGCAGGCCTAGTAATTAAAGTATTCTGAATCGCGACACATCAGACATGGAATTATATGAAATAAACAGTATGTATTAGGTAAGTATATATTAATATTAACACGAACGATTAGAAGTAATGATTTGTATGAAATAACATTATAGGCTCGGCCTTTCCTCTTTGTAATCTGGAAACCAATTTCAAGTTTTCCAATAGCCATAATTCTAAGAAATGAGTTCGTGCGAGAACATTCTCCGCAGTATTTACGGTACTAACTCAATAATGGATTTTTAGTCGCTTCAGGTTAATACATATAGATTTGCGCAAAAACATACAAAAATAACGTAAAGGAATATAATTTCACATTTTTGTTTCCTTCGTCCTCGATTACTCATATATAAATTTCTAGGACATTATTCTGATTATGCATTAATAAGATTTTGATTACAAATTAAAATATATAATCTGAAAATAGTATAGACATAACTATTAAAAAGACACAATACGTAATTTAATAAAACATTAGCGCACAAATATAAGTGTAGGTATGTAACATGTGCAATGTACATACAAAATATATTGCTCTCATATTACATAATACATATATAGTTTAAAATAATATTATATACATGTAGAAATACTTGTATTAATAAAATATAGTATATAATATTAATATCTAAACAACGATAATGTGGTAATATAAAACTTTACACCGGAAAAAAGTTGTGCAGCCGGATCGTTGCATGCAAACTGATTGGCTTCACGTTTCTTCGATGAAACAAATAACAGTGAAAAAACTGTGGAGTTCTGTTTACATTTTCAATACAGCAGATAACTTTTGTTCTAATTCTTGTATTTTAATTTTCTATCTGTTTTCTAACTTGTTGCAATAGAGTCGGTCTACGTCTCGTCTACATACATATATCTACGTCGAGCATTATGTGAAGTGTCTGGGAAATGTTATGGGCGCGATAGAAGCCAGACTTACAGCTTCTTTGTAATTATCTTGCTATATTTATATTTAAATAAACCTAAGCGGTTTGACCTATTGTAATGATTTTTTTAATACTTATGGTGTCAGCTGATGAATGGTTATTTTTTTACGTATCATGAGTTCGCAGACAATAATCGTCTCGTCCAAACCATGTCGACATAATAATATGACTTCTTTCAATTCAATTCAATTTTCTTCTCAATGGCTTCAAAGCGTATCAGCTGAGCACAGATTACTTCGCCAATGTCACGTAGAAATTGGATTTCAAAAAACTTTGATGTCGTGACGTGACAATGACAGATTTTTTTGTCACGGTGACACAAGTCACTGCTGGTGTTGGCTGTTATTTATCTGTTTTTATTATTATCTATTTCATAAAAAATCGCCTGTAGAATGTATAAGAAATAATAACACCAACAGATTGTATCGAATAATATGAAGTGATTCAGTCCAAGTTTTGCGGATGTCGTAGAGCGTTCGCGCCGTAACGCCGCACTCAATCATCCGACGCTGCAAATTACTCCTCAAATTGATACCGACAAGAGAACGGCAACTCAATAATACACGTCACATTTAAGGACAGACGCGTCCTTAATCTAAGGTCAAGGTCCACTAACTACACTTTTTAAATCTTAAGTATTGTTGTGCAAATATCGATCAATATAACAGAAAGTAGTTAATATAGAATTTAAATTCTATTATTTTATAAAATACGTTAATATAAAAGTACTGAGTACAAAATGATGTTTGAATACTCAATAAAATAAAAAAATATTTTACTTACTTATGATTTCTCAGTGTCTCTGAGAAAGTCGTCTATGCAGAAGATATTAAAAAGCATAACTCAGTGCATAACTAATAGACTCACTCTCACGGACACAAATCAAACGTAGGAGCTTCCTGCACATCGTGTCCGGCGGATGTTAGAGTTTACCAACTTCCGGGCCATTACTACGAATGTCTTAACAGAAAACTACATAAAGGTCTTTTAGGATACTTCCTAACTCGTATAGATGGATCGAAAATGACCACTAGATCTAGATCACGAAACAATCTCTATAGACTAATAGCGTACAATAAGTTAAAAATTCTGAAAAAAAAAACATTTAACTTTTTAGAAAAATAGTCGAGACTCAGTTGCAGCGCGGGTTATTGTAACATGTGAAGTTTTGTATCGGCAAAGCTCTATTAGTTCGTGCAAACAAACAGTCGTATGGCTTTTCGTCTTTCCTTAATTACGATATCAAACGAGACTGATTTTTAAAAGAATGTTAATCATAAACGTGTAGTACCATATCGTTGTTAGTAATTTTTATCAAAATTTTGTATTTGGTATGCAATAGAAGCTTTATTTTTAACATATTTTGTTTCTTTGTCTGTCGAACTTAATCATACTTTAAGCGGGTCGAGGAATTTCAATGTTCCTTTTTAGTGTTTCATTGCTAAAAACCCTTATAATTTCGCTATGTCTATCTCTCCACTATCCGTATGTCACTCGAAGGCTATTGGAGATAAATTGCTGAGATTTAATAGGTAGATGTCATATGTAAATCGCTAGACAATTGCGTAGTTAAATTACAAAAATTGGTGTGGTACCATATATGTAACTAAGGAGTTAAAAACATTTTAGGGCCCAAATAAGCGTGTGAGGTATTTCAATACATAACCTTTAACATTAGAAAGACGGAAAAATCAACTTACCAAGAAAGACGGCGAGGGGTCATTTGACCTCTTGCTTTATAAAAAAAATATATATAATAAAACTGTTAGCAAATAAGCGACAAAGACATTAAAGCTTCGATTTGACTTATATTCATTACTAATGGAGTAAAACACTAATGGAGATCTATTAGTTCCCACGGGAACCGTTCATTTTTCCGGAATGAAAAGTAACCTGTTGTTTGACCGGCAATATAAGGTATCAGAAGGAGAGAGAGAGAGGAGTTAAAGTTTACTAAAATAGGTGCATAAGTAGTTGTGTACTAAGCTGTATAAGATACTATAGTTTTTTAACTATCCCACGTTAACTCTTTAAATTTCTGGGATGAAAAGTATTTAAGATGTTATCCGGGGATATAAGGTACCACCATGCAAAATTTCATTGAAATCGATCCAATAGTTTCGAAGATTAGCCCGTACAAACAGGCAAACAGACAGAGAAACAAAAAAAAAGAAAATATCTGGATTTTTTCTATTTTTCTTCTTACGGGATGTAAGAAGATAACTGACTCGGCTTTTAGCATTTTTTTCTATGTACAGACATTCGACCTCTACAGTTTTATTATATTTATAGATAGAATAAATAACGTACAATAAAACAGTAATATACAATAATGAAAATAGTTATAGCGAGTGTACCTTAGGAGATAGACATATACTATTGAGAACTTTTCTATCGGCCTTTCTAAGACTTATAATTTTCTTGTACAATGTTTTGATCTATCTCTTTAGGTTGAGCCAGCGTTACTCATATAAATTTCTAAGGACAATTCGATAGAACCAGTTATTGTGTTTCCCCGTGGGAATGAATAATTCGTCTGTCGTAAGAGGTATCCTAAATGTTGACCCGAGTACTAAGTTATCACTATACAAAATTCAGATAAAATCGGTTAAGTACTTTTTGCGTGAAACGCACACATCGATTTGACTAAGTTGGTTTTATTATAGAAATAGATTACATATACTATTCAAAACTTTCCTGTAGGACTTTTCAAGACCTACAATTTTTTAGTATATTGTTTTGATGTATATATGCATGTCTTAAGGTTTAGCCAGTGGAAGGTTTCTAGGAAGGACTTGATAAAACCAGTTATTGCAACTCCAGAATTAAAAAAAAATCTTTTTACATTTATGGCCTATTTGTTAAAAAGGATAGAAGTGAATGAATAGTCAATAAATTTCAACACCAGAGCTGCGGGCAAATTAAATTAGTTACGTGTAAAGTATGATTACAGAGAGACTAGATAGAGACTAGGAATATCTACCAGACAAGACGTAAAGAATTTAGACGACAACTAACACATTTATTATTATACTAGCGACTCACCTTCACTCCGCTCGGGTTCATCTATAGGAATGTATTAACCATAGACTTAGTATATACTGTCATAATACTAAGTGTATGGTTTTAACGGTTAGTATAAATTTCTCAGAGGTGAGATATTTTCCCGCACTAAAAAATATCCTATATGTTGACCCGGGTAACCAGACAGACAGATAGACAGACAGACAGAAATTCTAAAAACTATAGATTCGGCCTCTGTATCGATAATAATGACTATTGCAATAAGATTTAAAAAAAGAAATCCCATCAAAAACATACTGTAAAAATATTGCAAGTCTGTGTCAAGTGACTTGGCCATCGCACGGAAACATAATCACATAAGAGTCTACTACTTTAAATAGTCCTAATTAAAAATACCATGACCAAGGTGGACGGACGACTTGGTCAAAGTCGCTGGAGCCCACTGGATGCGGATGGCACAAGCCTGGTTGTCGTGGAAATTTTTGGGGGAGGCCTATGCCCAGCTGTGG